TGGAGGAGTGCGTCTGGGTATTGTGCGATATGAACGAATACCCACTAGACTAAAAGGTAAGTTTTATAGAACGGCTATTAGACCAGCTATGTTGTATGGGACGGAGTGTTGGGCAACCAAGAAACAACATGTAGATAAGATGAGTGTGGCTGAGATGAGGATGCTAAGGTGGATGTGTGGTAAGACTAGACAAGACAAGACAAGATTATGAATGAGTGTATTTGGGAATGGGTAGGAGTAGCACCGATAGGAGATAAGTTGAGAGCGAATCGTTTGAGAAGGTTTGGCCATATTCAATGAAAACCAACAGCGGCAGTAGTGAAGAGATGCGATGCTGTAACGGTAGATGGAAGTGTTAGGGGACGGGGTAGGCCTAGATTAACGTTGACTAGCGTTATAAATAGAGATATGAATCTACTTAATTTGACTAATGAAATGGCCTGTGATAGGGCCGCGTGGAGAAGAAGGATTCATGTAGCCGACCCCATTTGATGGGACTTAAGGCTTGGCTTGGCTTGGTTTGGTTTGGTTTGTTGATGATGATGATAGATACACATATATGTGTGTGTGTGTAATGAACAATTTCAGATTATTATTATTAGTATTATTTTTTTTCAGTTGTTGATGATGATGATGCTGAAATATACTGAAAACAACAGATTAAATTGTTTTTTTTGTTGTTGTTTTTGTGTTGAACAAAATTATTAAAAAAAAAAACAAACAAACAAACAGATCGGGGATTTTCGGGATCGGGGAAACCCAATCCCCGTTAGGGGGCAGAGGGGGGGGTGATGGCATCCACGTCGAGGATCGAGGGCGGGGACGGAGATTTTTTTGCCTTCGGGGATCGAGGACGGAGGACGGGGAGTGTAATCCCCGGCCCCGGCCCGGCCCGTTGCCATTCCTAGTCCCAGGTATGCACGCCACAAGTGTTGCCGAGTGAGTACGCTAGGGGTGAGGGAGGGTGTAAAACGAAGACCCACATCGCCTAGGTAGTATATAAGCGTGAGGACACCCTCACCTCAATAGTTAACTTTTGGGGGTTGAGTTCTACCAAGACTATGTAATAGTTAAAAGGGAAAAAGGAAAAGGAAACAAATAAAAGACAAGGCATGACACAAAAGACCCAAACAGCTACACAATACAGCTAAAGTTTGGGTTTCCTCCCAAATAGAACCAAGTTTTAAGCTTTTTAGCTAGACACAATGAAGCTCATTTGTCCAATTCCTCCATTCATATCGGGGTCCAATCCCCATATCTAGTTCACTATTGGCCAACCTATAACCTGTTCATGCTTTTGATGCATGTTCACAAGATGACTCTTAGCAGCCCTAAGAAAGTTGACTCGAATTTCACCGAAAGTGGTTCCAACTCTTGTTTGGGTGGAGACTTAATAAAAGGAAGGGTGGTTGCACTGGAAGCAATAGGAAAGTCTGTAAGAGGTGGAAAAACTTCTACCAAATTGGTTGTTCCATCCACTAAGAAACACTCTTCCTCCACTAGAGGTCAATTAGAAACATTGAAAACATTTAGCCTGACCTTTATATTCTCAAAAGATACATCCATCACCCTAGTCCTACAATTGATCACATATTAGCCCTAGCTAAGAAGGAATAGTTATTTCTTGGGATTGTGCACAGGTTCTTTGTCAAGGGCAAGAAAGTCCACCGGAAAGTTGATCTTCTCTACCTGGACTAAGATATCTCTACCAACCCACATGCTATGAAGCATGGGTACTTCGAAAATGTTGTCATACTTGTACCGGATACTTACCGGGTGTTGGTACCCATACCAATAGGGCTGCATGTGTACTAGGTACTCGAAATGCGTACCAGATACTTTTTATATATTCTTTGGCACTTGGGTACTCCATGGGTACATCAGGAGTACACCAAGCTATGAGACATTGGTGGAGATATGTTTAATTTATTAGAGAGTTTTGATTTACTTGAAATTGCAAATCCTTTACTTGATGTGTCAGAGAAGAAAGATGTATTATTCAATAATAAAGTTGATAGAAGCCAAAACTGGAGTTTCAAGTTTTCAAATTTTGCTTAGTTTGCTTTTGGAATGAAATTTTGTTTTGTAATTTGTCCTATTTTATGGCATTAAAATAGCTTATAGACTTTGCTTTGGTATTGGTATTGTTGAATTGTGATTTTTTTTTTTGGTTTTGTAATTTCTCTTCTTAGTTTTGGTATTGAACTTTTATTTGTAGATTGAATCTCAAACTATAAATTATAAAAAATAAAAAATTTATTGACGTACTCTAGCCGTACCCGTATCCTATTTTTCTAGGTCTTGTCGTATCGGTATACTTGTATCTTACACCAGTATCCATACCCACACCCGTGCTTCATAGGCCACATGGTATCGTAATAGATTTGTTTGCTAATTGCACAAATGTCATCGTGGGTTTTAGCTCTCCAAACCCAAGTTGCTCATACACCTGGTAGAGAAAATGATTAATACTCACTCCTAAATCCAAAAGTTATCGATCTATGGAATTGTTACCTATAACACAGGAGATGGTGGGAGTGTTAGATAGCTTGATATACATTGTTGGACTCTTTTCTTAATAGCTTAGGCTTTTGGGAAAATTGGTAACTTAACATGGTATCAGAACTTTAGTTGAGAGAGAGGTCTTGGGTTTAAGTCTCTTCATCGGCATTTGGCATTATATCCCTGTTTGGTTTCTTTCTCTTTGTTTGGCTGTTTGCTTCTCATTCTGTTTGGTTCTCTATTTGTCTCTCCACTTGCAAGACGGGGTTGAACGTGAGAAAGGATGTTAGATAGCTTGCTATACATTCTTGGGTTCATTTTCTAATAGCTTAGGCTTATAGGAAAGGGAGCACCAGGAGCACTCCCGAGTCCAAAATTATATTATCATTGTTTGGAAACCTAATCCCAAAACTAAGTACTTGGCTTGAGTTTCATCTAAACCCTAAGAGAAGAATCTAGCCGCTTATGGTGGAGGAGGAATAGCTGTCTTCAATGAAATCTCCATGAAAGAACCTTGGAATCTCTTTCCTCTAGCCTTGAGAGCCTCCTTTCAATGTTCCAACACCTCGATTTTTGTCCCTAAGTCTGTTTTTTGTACTTCCAAACAAATTAAGATTGAAAAGAGCCAAAACCATGTTAAAATTCTGTATTTTGTGTCGACCGTCGATCGAGAGGACAACTGCTGCAGCTAGAGTCTTGAACTCTGATTTTTTTTTTTTTTAGAGAGTATCCCAGTGTTCAAGCAGTGGAGAGCCACGAGCTTTCCATTGTCCCATTATCTTTGCAGCCCATTCTAGTTGCATTCCGGTCACTTCGTTGAGCCTTTAAGCCTCCAATTTAAAGCCAAGTGCCATGCAAACGCCTCTTATGACCTGCAATCATGCAAACAAAGGAAACTACATCAAGTAACAATGGCAAAGGTCATAACAAGTGCATATTAGAGGGGCTTAAGTGTACCCATTACAATACCAATCAACACCCTAAGGGAAGAGTTTAGTTGCCCATGGAGGAGGAGAATGACTTATGTGTGGAGAACGCCATCCTTTGAACCTTGGATTGTCTCCTTTTGCCTCTTTTGCCGTCTTTCGATATGTGAAGAACTCTCTTTTCGTAGCTAAGTTTCCCTTTTATTTTGTTTTTTTGATAAATGGCTGAGTTTCCCTTTTATAGTCCTCGAAAAGGACTTTGATTGCCTAAAAAGCATTGAAAAACCAGACTTCCACAACCTCCACCGCCTGGGCAAAGCTCAAGCTTGCATGGGCAAATCCTGAAATCACCCAAACAGGAAACTGCTGTGAACCGGAAACTTCTGCAGGAACCACTGCCCAGCGGTGGCCTTGGGCACCTGGCGAGAAAATACTGGACTTCCTTTCTTTCTTTTTGTTTTTTTTGCTGCTTCGTTCTTCTATCTAATCAGGTTGCGTCCATGATACTTCTTGCCAACTCTCTCCTAAGCATCGTGCAATCTGAAATCTCGGAAACACAAGTAAAAGCAACAAGTAAACACCAATAAAAAGTCCTAGCAAGTTTACTTTGAAGACCTAAATGCATAACATTTCAGCTCCAATAAAAAAGCCACAAAACAAAACAAAAGAAACCCTAAATCTCTACTCTCAATTCAATATCATAGTTTAAATAAACCTATTACATTAAAGGCTTACTTATAGGTATCAAAGATAACCTTAACTAAACCTATTATATTTAAATCTTATTTAAGGTTCTAATATTGATATAATTTCTAAAAATCCCACTTTCGAAAAGTCTTCTGTTCTTTCTTCATCTATCACCTTTTCTGTCCCTATCACCAGTTTTGGAGAGAGATATCTCCATAGAAAATATCCTCTAAGTCAAGAAAAAGATACTCTAAACCTTGTCATACTTCAGGAGCGCACTCCACCACCTTTGCGGCCCCCAACGCCTTTGAGGGTTTTGACAATTGCTGGGCCAGAAAGAGGTGGCCACTTGTCCCCTTATATCCACTCAAGCACGTGACACTATGCTCTCAAGTGAACTAGCTGTCAAGACCCAACCCTCCTATAAATAGGAGGCCTCCACCTTTTGGCTTGCAAGAAGCAATCCTTCTCCTCCATGGCCACTCTCTCTCTTCTCCTAAAACTGCCTCTGCTCTCATTGCGTCCACCTCTAGTAGTCTCACACCATCTGAGTGTCTACCATACTTGTCACAAAAATGGCTTCATAACCAGCTTACTCAATGTTAGCCATCCACAAAAAGTATTTAGTTTATTGAGATTGCGCAGGTGTACCAAAAATTATATCATAAGCAATTAGAGTTGCTCAAGACTTAATTACAACCCATCTAAAAAGGTGGTTTTCGCATTAACCTGTTCAGGTTGAGTAGTTACCCAGCAACACTTACAAATCGAGTTGTGAAATTTTTTCAAAGAATAGCCATTTACTTATTTTCAACATAACACCTTCAATATTAGTAGTTAGAAATGTTTTGTTTTAGTGAAGTAAATCTGGGTGCTTTGCTGCAGATGGCTTCTTGGTTATCCAGTTGTGTACTTGTTTGGCAAGGAGCATATTGCAGATGCTATATACAATCTTTCCACCAAGTCTCTTCACCTCTTCAAAGTTTTAGTCCACAGGTATGTTGTCTGTGATTCTTACCCTAGGGTTTACTCAGAATTTAGATACAATTTAGTTGGTTTGTCTGGCGTTCATTTCTTTGGAATTATCGCAAGTTCTGCTGTAATGGTTTGTGACAGTTTCATTTTTCCTAATAAAAAAAGGGCAACCAAGTGCATGAAGCTTCCACTAAAGCGGGGTTTGGGGAGGGCAAAAAGAATATTTTAGTCAAAAGTTAATTGTTCTGTAATAGAAGCATTTCAGATGTAGGAAGTGAGCATAAAAGAAGTATCTAAACAAATAAAAGTACTCTGTAGTGTCTTCACATGAAGAAAATTGGTGAAGATGCAATCAAATGATGAGGATATATGTTTCTTGCTATGTCTAAGACAACTATTTTGAAATTTTCAGAACATATGGTTGTTGGTTGCTTGGCATATTATGTATTTCTGTTCCAATAGTTTTCATCGTTTCAAGTGCATCCTATTGAAGTAGCTTTTTATTTATTTATTTATATAAGCTTAATGACATTGATTGAGAATATTGTACTTTTGTAGGAATGGTACCTCCAGTAAGGGAAACCAGGAAGAGGAACTGATGAGGTGAGACTCTTCATTACGTAATTTAGTCATATCTTTCTAGTGATCTGTGAGGTGATTTTATGTGGGAGTTTTAACATATATTGAAGGGGAGAAAAAAGAAGACTAATAACTGCTATCTATCTTTGTTTAATAGGTAAATTACAAATAAAGGTTTGCTTAAAATACAAATTGCCCCCTGTGGTTTTAGAAATTACATCCTACCCTTTCAAGTTTCTAATCACATAACAAATGATCCCTTTTATTGATAAATCATCAAGTCGATTAACAGTTTTTAATTATGTTAGAAATATATTTCAATTAACAATTTAAGTAATGTTATTGTTGTATAGGAGAACAGTTTGGAATTTCATTTTTTCTACTAATTCTGTTAAATAAAAAATTATGACAAAGGGATATTTGTAATTTTCAAAACAACAGGGAGCAATTTGTATTTTAAGCAAATTTCAAGGGATATATTTATAATTTACCCTTATTTAATTGTTTTGTTTTGACATGTTTTGATGCAACGAATCACTAAGTTGAATAAGTGACCTAATGATCCAGCCACTGACTTGGCTGATGTCCAGTTTGGGTGTGATGACTGTGTATGTGTGTTTATATCATCATTCAATAAGCTGTACTTCTGTCAATGTGTGTAGAAGTGGTTTACTTCTCTAGTCTTCTGGGTAGTAATCTCATCGTGTTATATAAGACAAAGGATAAGACAATATGTGTCATGACCGATGATCCCTTCCAATAGAGAAGGCCTAATCACTTTCTTTGTCCTAAATGGTGCATGATGTGCAAGAGTTCAGAATGACGGATCGTTTATTTCTCCATTGTCAGGTGGCTCATTTATTATGGTAGTGTCTTTTCGCTTTGTGTGATGATCAATGGGTTGCTCCACGGGAGTGCGCACACATGTTTATGTTGTAAAAATTGTGTATTTAAATAAAAAAATTAACAGATTCATATTTAATTGAATTGAACTAAATCATACAACTTAATGAACAGAAATACATAGAACAAAAATAAGGAAAAGAAAGCAAACCGAAGCCTGTATCATACCACAGTCACCTTAAAACAGATTTGTCGTTTCATCGTGGGTGCTGGAGATATGTCGACATCTGTCTCCCAGAATACGACGGTTAGAACCCGCTAACACAGAAGCACCTTCTGTTTAGTTTCGGTGAACTAACAATGGCAACACTCTCTCACAGGAAAAATATTATAGGAGCAAACTGACTATAATATAAGAGCAAATGATTTTTGTACTCCAACCAAAGAGGATGGTATTGTTTTATACACAATGGGGAAAAGAGGATGATAGAACTTAGGCCATGTGTCCCTCATGGTTAGGCCATGTGTGTCTCATGGTCTAAGACACTATTAAGGCCATGTGTTCCTCATGGTCTAAGATACTATTAGGGCCATGTGTTCCTCATGGTTAAGCCATGTGTCTCTCATGGTTAGATTGTGTAAAATGTTCAATCATCATTCTCAATCTCTCATGCATGAGGCCAACTTTATGAGACAATTTCTCATTCAATTCTCAATAGTTTTTGGTCATTCTTTTTTTGGTATGAAGTGATGATTTTAGAGAATACCAAGATTAGGGAATGATATCATTCCCTTTTTATATTAATAAAGATTAATAATTACAAGGGAACCCTAAGATATAGAATAATTACAATGGAATAAAAAACCCAACTAATAATATACTATTTTAACACTCCCCTTCAAGCTAGTGTGAAGATATCTCTCATGCACAGCTTGTCTAGGATGTCATGCAATGGATTACTCCCAACTCCCTTGGTAAGGATGCCAGCGAGTTGTTCACCAGACTACACAAATAGAGTACATATTGTGCAATTAGTTTCTCCTTAATAAAGTGGCGATCAATCTCAACATGCTTTGTCATGTCATGTTGAACCAAATTGTGAGCAATATTGATGACGGCCTTATTATTACAGTATAACCGCATGGAGTCCATCTGATCAATATCTAGATCATCCAACAATAACTTGATCCATAAGAGCTCACACACTCCTTGTGTGATAGCTTTAAACTTAGCTTTTGCACTTGACCTAGCAACACATTATGTTTCTTACTTCTCCAAGTAACTAGGTTGCCTCCAACAACAGTGCAATACCCTGAAATCGATCTCCTATCAGTTATTGATCCAGCGGAGTTAGCATCTGTATAGGCTTCCACACGAAGATCATCATGTTTTGAAAAGTAAAGATCCTTACCATAATCAAACTTCATATATCGCAAAATTCTTATGACAGCCTCGAAGTGAATCTGATGAGGAGCATGCATAAACTGGCTAACCACACTGACAACAATAGCAATATCAAGACGGGAGTGAGATAGATAGATGAGCTTACCCACTAAACGCTAATAACTCTCTTTATCAACAGCTGCTCCTCTTTCATCATCCGCCAGTTTCTGATTGGGTTCCAATGGAGTGTCACCGGCCTTGCAACCAAGCATCCCAGTTTCCTTCAATAGGTCAAGCACATACTTTCGTTGTGAGATAAATATCCCATCCTTAGAGCAAGCAACTTTAATTCCCAAAAAATACTTCAAGCTCCCCAAGTCCAAGTCTTTGATTTCAAACTCGCTAAATATTTCTTCAATAAAGGTATTTCCTCACTATCATCACCTGTAAAAACTATGTCATCCACGTAAATAATGAGCAATGTAGTCTTACCACGTGAGGAATGTTTCACAAACAAGGTGTGATTTGCTTGACTCTATTTGAAGCCATATTTAAGCATAGCTTGAGTGAATCTCTCAAACCAAGTCCTTGGAGACTATTTGAGACCATATAACGACTTTCTAAGCCGACATACTTTACCCTCTGTTTGATGATCCTCAAAATCAGGAGGAATGTCGATATATACCTCTTCTTCGAGGTCACCATGGAGAAAGGCATTCTTTACATCAAACTGATGAAGTGGTCAATCTAGATTAGTTGCTAGAGAGAGAAGTATTCTGACTGAATTCATCTTAGCCACAGGTGCAAAGGTCTCCTAATAGTGAACGCCATGTCTGAGTGAACCCTTTTGCCAATAGAACCATCCGCTTTGTGTTTCACAATATACACCTATTTGTATCCCACAAATCGTTTGCCCTTAGGTAACTTAGTCAATTCCCAATTGTCATTCTTCCTAAATACTTTCATTTCCTCAATCATAGCAAGTTTCCACGTAGAGGTAGCAAGAGCATCTTAAAAATAGTTAGGAATGCTAATAAAGAAAACATTTGACACAAAAGCTCTATACGAGGATGACAAATGAGAGTAGGACACAAAATTTGAGATAGGATGTTGAGTACAAGTTCTCACACCTTTCTCTTGGCAATAGGAACATTAAGATCAATAGGAGTATCAAGATCAGTGAACTCAAGAGATTCAAAGTTATTTGGATTCTCATCAGAAGCTGGAGATGGCAGTGGCTGAGCAAAAGTGGTTTCTTATATCCAGTTAACTTTCTGTCTGTCTTTGTCTCTTGACATAAACTTGCCCTTCCCTATCATTGGTGTCATTGGGTTTTGTAGTCCTAGTAAGAGTTAGTGGAACAACTGGTTTCACTATAGGAATCACAGGAATCACTTCTCACCAAGGCTCCCCCTGAAGGGAGGACTGTGACACCGAAGAGGACAAGAAATAGGACTGAGACTCAAAAAAGCTCATATCTATGGACACAAACCACTTACGAGAAGAAGGGTGATAACACTTATACTCCTTTTGAGTAGGAGAGTACCTAAAGAAAACACATTTGAGAGAGCGAGGGTCCAACTTACCACGAGTAGGAGAGAGATTGTGGACAAAACAGACACAACCAAATATTTTTAGAGGATTAAAAAATAAGGATTCGAAACCTATGAGGACTTGAAAGGGAGAATGAGCAAGCTTGTCTGGTTGATCCAGGAAGTAGAGACCATTTTCTGCACTATCACTGCCCATCGTCCTCCTCCTCATGACAAGGTCTTGAAAAAGACAATGATCAAGAAAAAAAGTCACACTACAATTCAAATCCTTTGTAATACGACTCAAGAATAACAGGTTAACTAAAAAATTGGGAACATGGAGAACAGAAGATAGAGGTATGGTAGGAGTGACATGAACTAAACCTTTCTCAGAAATGGAAGAAACAATACCATCTGCAATCCTAACTTTGTCTTGACCTGAAGGGGTTTATAGGTAGAAAAAAGGTTAGAGAATCTAGACATATAATCTGAGGCACTAGAATCAATAATCCAAGACAAAGACTTATGAGAAAGGAAAACACGAGGAGAAGAGGCTATGTTACCTGAGCAGGCAAACGACGAGGAAGATGTACTGAGAGCAGTAGAAGACTGACGGTCCAACAAGTGATGCAAAACATCCTCAAGCTCATGAGTAGTCATCTAGAGAGACCATCAGAAGCCTGGCCAACGTAAGCGGAAGTAGAATCAAGTGTATCAACGGCACTAGACTGATGAGCCCATTGATGGGAGCAACGTCCTCTAGATTGGCTTGACCGACCTCCTCTAGAACTAGACCGATCACCTCGACCCCGGATAAAGTCCCATGAAGCTTCCAACACGTCTCACGAGTATGTCGCAGCTTGCGACAGTAATCACAGAAGACAGACTCCTTGGCGGCAAACGAAACGATGGGAGTCAGACTGAGGCCATCTCTAGGGGTAAACAGTAACGCTAAGTGGTCAGTAGAGACAGGTGACATCATAGCAGACTAGCGACTCTCCTTATTCTGTACATAGGCGAATGCTTCCTGAAATGAAGGAAGAGTGTCCATACCCAGAACTCGACTTCGAATCGAATCATACTCCATATGAAGACCGGTCAAAAACTTGAAGACCCTTTCCTGTGCAATGAACTTCCTATACCCAACTAATTCAGTAGTGCAAACAATTTTATTGTCTTGCAGGTGATCAAGGTGGTTCCAACTATTGGTGAGAAAGGTAAAGTACTGAAGAATAGTCTGTTCCCCCTGAACAAAGCTCTCAATA